TGATCACATAAGCGGGCGAGGTGCATTAAGTGAAAAGCCGCACCTGCGATGGAAATTCCGCAGGTGCGGGGCCGCAAATGCGGTCCTGGGATCGCATAAGCGGAAATCGCTGGGCAGAAAAGGGGATTTCGAGGGTTTGAAATTCATATCACAAAATTTGATTTGGAGCTCGATGGGTATTGATATTACGGAAATATTAGTGTTGAGTTGTTTATGTTGATATATTGATATTGGGGGATCGGGTTGCATGCCGCAACAGAATAGGAAATGATATGATATGAAGAATAAGGACGGAATATGATATGAAAAGATTATGATATTGTATGATAATGGAAATTGGATCATGGTATCGTGTTATATGCTAAAATGGTCGAAACATCCGAAATAGAGTATTTTATAATCATTAGGCGAATTAATGATTCGCGATCACGAAGAAGGAAAAGCACTGCCCCAGAAAATACCCTATGTGATCACAACAATAGCCTCGCGAATGTGATACACAAAAGTACGCGATCGCGGGAACAACATCGCGAATGCAAAGAGGAAACCTGCCTCCTGGCCAACTTTTCCCATAACACTAGGCGAACACGTAGAAGTAGTTGCGAACGCGATGAAGACCAGACCCCTACCTATGTGCATGCGTTCATACTCATGCGAACGCGAAGAGCAAATTTCACAGTAGACCAAAACACCTTTTGCGATCGCGTCCAAACCTTCGCGATCGCGAAGAATACCAGAAGCAACAGGTAATAGCAGAAAACCAGCAATGCAAAAACCATTTGAAATGACTAAACTACGTCCAAAACTCACCCGAACCCCTTGGGACCATGTTCAAATATAACAACAAGTCCCACAATATAACACGGACCTACTCGAGGTCTCAAATCACACATAACAATATCGAAACGATGAATCACACCTCAATTCGAACTTAAATATACTTTGAACTTTCAACTTCCAAAACCCGCGCCGAACATATAAAATCAACCTGGAATGGGCTCAAATTTTGCACATAAGTCCCAAATGACATAATTAAGCTATTCCAATTCCTTGAACCACAATCCGAATCTGATATCATCAAAGTCAACTCCCCGTCAAACTTATGAACTTTCTAAACCTTCAAATTTCCAACTTTCACCAATTAGTGTCGAATCCTTATAGGAATATCCAAATGCAAATATGGAAATACACCCGAGTCCAAAATCACCATATGAACCTAACGGAACCATCAAAACTCTGTTCCGGGTTCAAATTTACAAAAGTCAAACTTGGTCAACTCTTCCAACTTAAAGCTTCAACAATGAAATCCATTCTTCCAAACAAGTTCCGAAACACCTAAAACCCAATGCCGAAAATTCACACAATTCATAATACATCATACGGAGCTACTCGTACCCCCAAATTATCGAGTAAAGTGAAAATGCTCAAAATGACCGATCGGATCATTACAATAGCTGGGGTAGGGGTAACAAGAAACTCTCCCAATTTAACATTTCAAGTAAATACAACTTGCATCAACCCTGCTCACAAAAAGATATGCATTAAATAATGTCTGATCTTAAATACTCATACATGCCTTGCAAGGACTCGCTGGTTGTTTTATGTATTTGAGCTTCATTTCCCTATTTGATGCCCTTGTATGTATATTTGTTGTTAATGTGACTTGTGGGGATGATTGGTTTGATTTTGGGAAGGTTTTAGATTGAAATGGAACACTTAGTTTCAAGGTTGGAAGCTTAAGTTGTAGGAGTTGACCGGTGTTTGAATTTTATATAAACGATCCCAGAATGATATTTTGATGGTTCCGATAGATTTGTATGGTAATTTTGGACTTAGGCATATGTTCGGATTTAGATTTGGAGGTTCATAGGCTGATTTGGCTCTATTTGGTGAATGTTGGAAATTTAAAGGTTTGGAAGGTTCATAGGTTTTATCGGGAGTTGACTTTGAGGCTATTGGATTCGGATTGTTGTTCCAAAAGTTGGAATAGGTTCATTACATAATTTGGGACTTGTGTGTGAAATTTAAGGTCATTCTGAGTTGTTTAGATGTGTTTCGGCATAAGTGTTGAAAGTTAGTTTATTAAGCTTGAATTGTGATGTGATTTATGATTTTGATGTTATTTTATGTTATTTGAGGCCTGGAGTAGGTCCGTGTTATATTTTGAGATTGATTGGTATGATTGGATGGGATCCCGGGGGCCTCGGGTGTGTTTTGGAATAATTTCAAATTGTTTTGATGTTATGGCAGCACTTCGGATTCTGGTGTTTTCGCACCAGCAAGTTTGGGTCCGCAGATGCGGACAAGGGGGTTGTAGATGTGAAGGGAAGCGGAAGGAAGCATTGCCTATAGGTGTGGAACTTTGGGCGCAGGTATACTAGTTTGGACGTAGAAACAGGAATAGTGTCAGAGAAGCAGAGGGTCGGGGAATCACTAAACTTCGCAAATGTGAGAGTGGGATCGCAAAAGCGGTATTGCAGATGGGATGGCCCATAGAAGCGGAAATCACTGGGGCAGAGTATTTTAATTGAAGATTTGTATTTTATCATATTTTGAGATAAAGCTCAAATTGAGGCAAATTTTAGGCGATTTTCACCCACTTGGATTGGGTAAGTATTCTTGGCTCGGATTTGATTATTGTTCATGATTTCATCCTTGAGTTTGGCTTTTGATTGGTTAATCAAAGTGAGCAAATCAGGAATTTTGGAAAAAACTATTCTAAAATAAAAAAAAGTTAGAGATTTTAACCCCGATTCAGAGTCGATATTTGGATAAAACTTGCATATTTGAACTCGTATTCAAATGGGTACTCGAGATTTGTAATTTTTATCGGGTTCTGAAAGGTGCGCCCCTGGTGACTTTTTGATATTTGATAAAGATCGGACCTTTCTTAATTGAAATCAATTTCTATAGCCGTATTTGATGTTATTGAGTTATTTTTGGCTATAATTGACCCTTTCGGAGGCCGATTCGAGAGGCAAAGGCTTTTTAGAGTATTGATTTTCCTTGTTTGAGGTAAGTATCTTGCCTAATCTTGTGTGGAGGAATACCCTTTACGATTTGACATGGTGACAACCAATCTATGCATAAAATCACGTTGAAATCAACCATGTTAAGCAGTAAAAGATCAACTCTCATCTCTAATCCCCCGATAGTCACTATATACTACTAGTACACACGGTCCACAATAACAGAATCACCCATCGGCGTAGATACATGAACATGCATAACTAAAGAATCACGGGACATGTCCAAATAACCGGCAAAGTATGATGACACATACGAATAAGTGGGTAAGGGTCAAATTATACTAAAGCACCCCTGTGGCATACTAAAATAATACCTGTGATCACGATATCGGAGGCGACTGCCTCTAGCCTGGTTAGAAATGTGTAGCAACATGCCTGACCACCACCTGATCGACCTCCCCTCTAGGGAGGCCTCGAGCTAACTAGGCCCCACCCCGAGCTGGATGTGCGAGTGGTGTAGCTGTTGGTGCTGAAATCATAGGTTGAGAGCTCTGCTGTGGAACTATACTCAATAGTCTGGGGCAATCTCTCTAGATATGACTCGAGTCTCCGCACTCATAGCAACCCCTCCTGACAGACTGCTAAGCCTAATAGCCCAAAGAATTGCCTGTGGAAACCTAAGCAGATGAGTCACAGTAAGAACTCTATGCTGGCAATGCACTGAATGATGACTGAGCTGGGCGGGCACTATAGGAACTGTGGCTAACTGAAGAGCCTAGAGGAACATGGAGAGCTACCTAAACGGATCTAGAAGAACGACCTCTGCTGTAGTAGGACTGGCCTCCAAATGAGGCACTACTGAAACCACCTGAACTACGAGGCCTCTAGGTCTCCCGTTCCTCATGATCCTGCATGCAAACCAACACTAAGCATCTGGCAATATCAACTGCCTCATCAAACCTCGCACCCGTCGCAACCTCCCCAGCCATAATGAAGCGCTATCTATAGTTGAGTCCATCAATGAACCTTCTAATCTTTAAACCCTCATTTATATCATTCTGCCCAGCATTTGTGCTACTGCGGGATCATCAGCCACATCTGCGGCTCCGCTTTACAGCCAAAACCTCGCAAGTGCTGCTGCACTAGAACTGAAACATAACAGATTTTTCATAAGTCCACAACTCAATCCGAAATCAATCTGAACCTCACTCGAGGTCGCTGGGACCCCAACCAAACATACCTACACATCCTAAAACATCATACGAACTTAGTCGAAACTTCAAATCACATCAAACAATATCAAAAACACGAATCACACCCTAATTCAAGCATATTAAAACTACTAGATTTCCATCTTCTAACACCAATGTCGAAACCTATCAAACCAATTCCGATTGACCTCAAATTTTGCACACAAGTCATAAATGACACAACGGACCTATTCTAACTTCTCGAATCAAAATCCATATCTGGTGTCCACAAAGTCAACTCTTGGTCAAACTTCTCAACCTTCCAAACCTTCAACTTTTCAGTTTTCACCAATTAAAGCTAAAACGACCTATGAGCCTCCAAATCAATATCCGGACACACTCCTAAGTCCAAAATTACCATACGAAGCTATCAGAACTATCAAAACTCCATTCCGGAGTCATTTACACATAAGCTGGTCAACTCTTTCAACTTAAGCGTCCAACCTTGGGACTAAGTGTCCCAATTTATTCCGAAACATCCCCGGAACCAAACCAACCACCCCGGCAAGTCACATAACTACAATTGAATATAGAATAAGCAATAAATGGGAGAATGAGGCTACAATACTCAAAACAATTGGCGAGGTCATTACAATTTCGCTAAAGCGTGGATTGGAAGGCGTAAGTGAATATTAAAATGGCCTTCAACTAGGAACAAAAGCTACATATTTGTCATTTGATAATCAAGTAAAAAGTACTATAAAATCACCATAGTTAATAATTCAAAATATATAAAAAAGAATTCAAAAAATCATACTTAAAAAGTTTTGACTCCCCAAATACTCCTACTTGTTTTCACATAAGATGAGGCAACGGCGAGAGTATAATATAAAGCGTTTCAGTCCTCCATCTAGGACGAAATTAAGTAAATGCTCACCAACTCAGATAATAACCTCATTTCTATGGAGAGTACAATCCCATTGTAAGCTAGTAGGTTATGAATGGCAGTAATACAAATGATAATGAGGCATTCCTCAGTTTATTTTCAATAAATAAAGCTCAATGACACTTAACGCATGACACTAAGAGAAGATCCTCACAAGAATACTCTTTAAGGAAAAAAGAACATATTAAAAAAAAAAAACAGAAGTGAATTATAAATTGCAGAAGAATGGCTGGGTTGAAATTTGAAGAGGCAGGTGCCAAGTCAGACTCATATTTATTTGCCAGTATTCAAGAGGAACTTGTTGTACCAATAAGCAGATTTCTTGAGGTATCTTTTAAGTCCATTTTTGTAGTCAACAAAAGTGATGCCAAATCGGACAGTGAAACCAGCATCCCATTCATAGTCATCTAAGAATGACCATGCAAAATGTCCTTTCACATTTGCCCCCGCCCTGCCAATAATGTAGCAGTAACTTAAAAATTCCCAAAAGAAAAAACAAAAAAAAGGAGAAATGACATAGAAAGAAAAAGAAGAATCTTACTTTATGGCTTTTGACAGAAACCATAGGTGTCCCTCGTAATACCTTATCCTTAAATCATCCTTAAGGGCTTGTTTAAGTGGCAATGTGCTATTGTTGGCATCTGCCATTCCTTCAATTTGATGTCAACATTAAGATGGCTTTAGTTACAAAACACTGACCGAAAAGTGCTTATAAGCTAGTTCGACCAGCTTATAAGCTCAGTCAAATACCCTCTAACACTATTTACAATTGGCGGAACAAAAAAAAAAAGAATAAAGCTAGATGTAGAGGTCTTTCTAAAAGATAACGACAACAACATAACAACAACGATCCAGTAAAATTCTACAAGTAGGGTTTGTGGAGGGTAGTGTGTACACAAACCTTATCCCTATCCTAATGGAGTAGAGATGTTGTTTCCGAAAGACCCTCGGCTCAAGAAAAATAAAATATGACATTTACTAATTTATACGATAAAGCAACTTTATTTAAAACAAAAACATACCATTTTCAGTGATGTAGATGGGAGGATTCTTGTACTTTTGCTTGATGTAAAGCATGAGATCATATATTCCTCTTGGATAAATGTAAAGCCAATTCAAGGCAGTCTGCAAGATTAATCAAAATAAGCATGTTGTACATTCATACTCCAATCAATCCAAAATCAAGTGAGATTAAAAAAGAGAAGAGAGAAAGAGAGGCAAAATACCGGTGTACCGATAGGTTTTCCGTCCTTTTCAGCTGAATAATGAAATACAGAAACAGTCAAAATACATTATGCAAGAAAAAAAGGGATTCAATTAGTTCTCGTGATATACACTAGAAAACTGTCAAAAATCGTCCAAGAAAACCGATCGAAATCGGTCGAAAATATAGGAAAACAGACCGATGTTAATTCGTCGAAATAATAGTGGTCGCTAAGGTGTGGCGACCGAAGACGGTCGCAAGTCGGAAGTCAATCGGTTAATTCAACCTTTGGTTGACCACTTTGACTGACAGCTTTTGTTGGAAAAATAAATATACCGACCGATCAACCGAAATCGGTCGATAATATGTAAATTATTTTTTGCATTTCTTTTTAAATTTTAACAGGCCGGCCGAAATCGGTCGGAATAATTAAAAAATACATAAATAAAAAGTTATTTTCGACCGACTTCGGTCGGTAATTTCAAATTTCTGCAGATTGCATAGTGAAATTACCGATCGAAGTCGGTCAGAAATTATGAATTTCTGGGTTTTAATATGAGCATTCCGACCGAAATCGGTTGGTTTTTTGGGTAAAAACCTGGCAGGATATGCTTGCTTTTAGGCTACATCATCTGCCAATTACAACCAATAATCATCCTATAATGGCAACATATTATATTGTTGTCTTTCAACAACAATTAACCAACAACAACAACAACAACAATAATAACAACGCTAAATATTTATTTGTGTCAGATAAAGCACTGTCGAAATATTTATATGTGTGAGATAAAATACTATTTCTTTATTTTGTCTAGATATTTTCCGACCGATTTCAGTCGATTTCCTCTTCCGACCGATATCGGTCGGTATGATTTGGACGGATTTTGGCAGATTTTTAGGAGTGATAGTGGAGAAACAAAATTTAACTTTCAATTAGTGAAATTGTGCAGTTTTTGTCCCCTCACAAAAATAAATTTTGTCAAAGGAACGAATTAATTAATTCGATGACTTACCAGTCATATCTACATGATTGTCTGTAGTGTAGCTAAGATTAACTCTAGGGACAGATAGCATTGGAGATGCATAGTAAGTAGTATAGTAATTCATTCCTAGGAAATCCATCGATCCTTTCACTAACTTTGACTGCTGCAGTGTGAATTTCGGGAGCCGACGTCCTACATTAGCTCGCATGCTGGCTGGGTAGTCACCGTATGTAATTGGATCCAAAAACCTATACAGTATATATTGTGATTATTTGAATAAAAAAATGGCTTGAGCATTTGATAAAGCAATCAAAATGGCAAAATTATGGCTAACTATCTCAAATTTTGATCAGTTTTTGATCAGTTCACGATTCAAGTTATAACGCAAAATTCAGTGCGCACTAAAAGTTATTTCCTCTATTCCAATTTACGTAAAAGAGTTCGAGTGTGACGGCCAAACAATGTTAATTCGATCATAGATTCTTCAAAACTTTTAAAATAAAATATTACATATTTGAAGATTACATGAAAAATACTACTCTCTATTTCCTTAGGTGATATAGTTTAATTTCCTTTTTAGTATTTCCCTATAAGAATTGACCATTTATCTATTTAAAATATTTAACTTTAGATATTCTATTTTATATTTGATGAGATTATTATAGTCACTCAAGTGTTCTATATATTTTAGGGCACAATTACAAAATAACTTGCGAGGGCACAATACCAAGGGAATCTAGTGCGTACAACTCACCATCCTAGGAAAAAATCAAGAGCTTTTAATTGGGCCTTGCGTCCCTGAGGTGTCTTTGTTTTAGGCACGAACCAGTGAGTCACCAGAGTGACTCCTATCTGTCCTTTCTGAGTTTTCTGCATGTTTTCAGAAAATAAAAAGAATCTAAATGTTAAATTGAAAGCATCGTCAGTAAGTTTGTAACTTCAATTGAAAATTTATACTCCCACAGCTATATTTTTTTTTCCTCCCACAACTATATTTGATAATAAAAGAATAAAGGATTAAAGGAACATCCTTTTCTTCTTTATTACTAATTACTTATCACTTGTTTCATTTTATATTATACTTTTTTCTTCAAAAAAATTTACAATTTTTTATATTTGAAGCTTTATTATTACTTTGAATTTCTCATTTTTTCTCTATTAATGAAATGATCTTATTACTTAATAGTCATAAAAATTTCAGACGGCCAGCCATGCAAATGCCTCCTTATTAATTTTTCATGATGTGTAGGGAATAATGTTTTGATTATATTAATAAAAATCAGCGGCTAGGCAGACTGCCTAGTGGTATTCAATAAAACTTAATTAGAAAATGAAACATGATGAATAATTATCTGCCAAAATAAATTTCTATGTAGGTGATTACTTTGTTTTGATAGAAGGATGAACTGACCTGATATTTTTCTTTATATACTTTGATACCGGTTGCACGGGCAAGAAGCATGTTGTGAGCTACAATATATGGCTCAGTGGCAGAATCACCCTCCGTACAGTTACCAACATAACTCGAACATCTTCCTGGTGCAAAGGTACCTCTTGCGTATCCGAACATGCTATAAGATAATGGCTCATTCAAGGTGATCCAGTGCTTTACCCTATCACCAAATTCTTTGAAGCAAATGTCCGCATAGTCCCCAAAGTCCTTCCTGAACGCATGAACATACAGCTTCGGCTTTCGGTATATATGGTTGAGGCACAATTTAGCTAAGTAATTAAAACTGAGATGGTCACACAATATATATCAATATGGTATCAGATTGGACAAGAGTTTTTAGGTTTAAATCACATCGCTATCCAAACAGCTATAACATTCGGGCTTTTAAAACATTTGGCCGGTCGGTCAAAAATAATTAAAGTGCTAGACAAATGTATAAGAAAAACACACAAATTATGAATAAAATATGTATACTATATTTATATTTTTTACATTAATATAGAAAGGCATGCATTTACCGGCTATTATTTTGATGAGTGGTTACGTACATTATGTAGATTTTCCGAGATATTTCAAGTGTGGGCCTATAACTAAGAATCATGCATACACATAGAAGCATACATTAAGGGATAATATAATTAGATAATTAAACATATGCGAAATCTCTACTCCCGAGAGATTGAGCACTCTCAATTTCACTACAAAATTTGTGAATGAATTCTGGGCTGAACCACCTGGAATTGCATTGAGCCACATGTGGGAAGACCCAGATTACAATCATTCGCAAATTCACTAAAAATTTTGCGAATGAATTCTGTGCTTGGCCACCTCGAATGGTGTGAACCACATGTACAATTTTAAAGGGGAATTTGATCCAAAAATTGGCCAGCGTACACCTGACCAGAGGATTTGAAAAATTTATTGAATACAAAACTTATTGCCTTGTAAATTGGTCACACAATATCATCAGGTACTTATGTAATTCCTTCAAGGAAAAAAAAAATAGAAGTCATCTTATTTCTGTTCGAATGCTTTAACGTCTTACGCTATTTTGGAACTGAGAAACCCTCCATATTCGTCCTCAAGGGTTTGTGGTGTGTCCCAGTGGAAAAGCGTTACAAATGGCGTCAAACCTTTTAAAAATAGAAAAGTTAGAAACCTTATAATGGTTTCGTAAAACTGATAGTATATTGGAATGAGATAAAGTTATTAGTACCATTGGAGATAAGCTCATTGATGACATTATTGTAGAATTTTATGCCTACTGGATTCACTCCTTTGCTTACTTTCCCATCTACAACAAGTAAGAAAAAAGATTAAGTTCCGCAATCAACTAGTATTAGTTTGCCTCCTTTAATTTTCACCTCCTTATCTATTTTGTTGTACTTACTGCATATTTCAAATGTGAATTAAACTGGAAAAAGCATCCTTACGTGGTAAAATGCGAGACCAAGAGATGGATAACCTGAATGCTTTCATACCAACTTCCTTAAGTAGACGTATGTCTTCTTGTAACATTTGCCAATAATGATTTAATACCCACTAAAACATAAATATCAGCAGAAAAAGTTTAAATGCGGACCGCCATACCTTGTAACGGTGATAGAAATCAACAGCGACATCTCCGATAGAACGGTCAAATATCTTTTCTGTAATTTAAGGATTATATATGTTAAGAAAAGCTTAAACAGAAAAAAGAAAACAAAAAGTCTTCAGGGTCAGAGGAATTTTCACAAACCCCACTAACCCCCCACCCTCTCTCCTCCCATTTACTCTACCCTCCTCTCCTACTCACGTACGCAGAATTTTGCATAAATAGTGTCACCATTTAAACAAATAAAAAATTGCTGTAAATTTGTACAACATACAAAAATACAACCAAAAAAATAAAAACAAAAGGAAGCAGCAGCATCCTATTATGTTTGAAGTAATTTACTGTCACCGCTATCTGCAATTGTGACTTATGATCCATTGGTGTAGTATTTTCGTAATGTCAAAGAGGTCAGCGGTTCAAGCCCCTTCAGGACCGGAATAACAAGTGGTGTCACTGTCATTATTTAACTGATTGTTGCGTTTTTTTCTTTGAACTATATATACATAACTAATAGAGTAATTCGACGAAGCGGTATCAATATCACGTGATATCGCTTGGGCTAAGGTAAATCCGCCCCTGCCCCTTCACTCGTCTCCTCCTCCTTTTCAGTCGTCTACTCTTCCTCCGCCTCCTCCTTCACCGCTTCCAAATACCCAACAGATATTTAAATATCTCTCCAAAAAATAACAGATGTTAAAATATTTCCTGATTGTTTTAGCTTGTTTTAGCTAAACAGCTTAAGGATGTTTAAAGTATCTCTCGAGATTTTCAAAACATTTCTCAAATGTCTAAGTATTTCCTGATTGGTTGAACTAAAGCAACTCTCGGATTGTTTAAACTATTCTCAATTATTTTTCGGACGGTACTGCAGAATTTCCTCAATTATTTCAAAAGAAATCACAAATCTTCACAATAAAAATAAAAGAAGTAGAAGAAGAAGAGGAGGAGGAGGAGAAGGAAGAAGAGGATGGACAATAAGAAGAAATGAAAACGCAGAAGAAGATAAGGAAGAGAAGAAAAGGAAGAAGAAATTGAGCAAGAGAGGAGAAGAAAAAAAGAAGATGAGAAAGGGAATTAAAAATTTGAAAAAGAAAATTTTCAGATGTTAATACTTGCCCCTAACGTTTTAAAAATTATGATTAAACCCTCATTATCTTTGGTCTAGTCAAAGTCCCGGATCCTTCATTCAAGACTCAAGAGATCTTTAGATTGTTAACTGAAGTATTGATGAAACAATCGGCAATTTTGTCAATTACATTGTCATATGCAAGTATCTGTAATTAGAGGGGTCAAACGGGCCGGGTTGACCCGGGACCGGTTGAAACCTGGTCCGGCCCGGCCCGGTACTTAGGGAGCCGGGTGGGCTGAGTTACTGGGGTTAGGGGTTGGTCCGTTCACTTTAATTCATCCGGTTAACCGGACCGATCAAACCCGGTCAACCAAAATCCTTGTAGAACCGATTAATCGGCCCGACCTGGACCGGTTTAGCAGCTAGATTTCTATTTTTTTTTAAAGGTTTTAGAGTCTAAGGCAATGCAAAACCTTTGAATTTACTCTGTTTTTGTTAATTTATTTGTTGTTAAATGTAAACCTTTCAATTTGTAAGTTTGAATTTTGAAATAAATGTAGCACTTGCAATTTATAAGTGCAACTTTTTTCCATCTTCATTGTATTCTTTATATTTTTACTTTATATTAATATAAATTATAATAGTTATACAAAATACAAAAAAAAGAAAACACTAACCCGGCCCGGCCCCTTGGACCCGTAACCCGTACGGTTCATTTTTTATCTGGATGGATCCGGACCTATTAAATCCGGTAAAGACTAACCCGTAACCGACCCAGATTGAAAACCGGTCAATTTCATTTTTTTCTAACCCAAGCCACCCGTTTAACACCCTTATCGATCTGTAATATGTGTAATGTAGAATATGTACATTTTTGTCGATTATATGCTCTTGTATAAGTACAACCTGTACTCTTATTCTACATTGAATTTCATATAAAATAATAAAAGTATTAGGGGTCGTTTGGCAGGGAGTATAAGAATAATGTTGAATAAGGTGTATTAGTAATGTAGGGATAGGTAATGTATGGGTTAGTAATGCAAGTATTAGCTACACAGAAGTTATTTCTTATAAATTGTTTAGTGTGGTGTATTAAAAATTAAAATTTATTGCATAATTTCAAAGAAAATTATTTGTTTACAAAAATGCCCTCCATATTATTTAGCTTTAAAGGACTTTAGGGATAATTTGGCCTTTAACCATGCTAATGCATGCATTAATAGCCTTGGTATTGCTAATACCATAGTTTGCTATGCATTAGCTATACATAGGATAATACCAAATATGATATATAACTAATACTTGTATTAGTTATACATTGGTCGAATAAGTGTACCAAACAAAGTTTTACTAATATACAAAGCTAATACATGCATTATTTTCTTGAATGCACTCTACCAAACGACCTCTTACTGTATTATTATACTGATACTTTATACTCTCCCCCGTTCCCTTTTTATATATATGCATGTTTGAATAAGTAAAGGATTAAAAAGTAAGAATTTTTCTTATATTTGTGGTTTTAAATGTGCCATAAATTTGTTTTGGTATAATCCTATAATATTTTGGAGCTTGTGATCTAAAATATGCCATAACCATTTGTGAGTTTATAAAAGTTTGTCAATAACGATAAAATAGGAAGTTTAAATCAATTATTTCACAATTTTAAAAACAAATTATTCTTTTTTAAAAAGAATAAAATGCAAATAGAGTCACATAATAACCTGAAACTGATGGAGTATTGAATATATAAAGGTACAACAATAACAACAAAATATCCGTCCATATATACACAATTTAGTAAAAAGTTTTATATATACGACGTGTAACAAAAGGACGTTAACAAAGAGGGTGGCATCATTATTCGAGATAATCATTTGAAGATTACAACAACAACAACAACAACAACAACCCAGTATAATTTCACAAGTGGCGTCTGGAGAGGGTAATATGTACGCAGACCTTACCCCTACCACGAGGGGCAGAGAGGCTGTTTCCAGGAGACCCTCGGCTCAACACAGCGACAAAAGACGATATATTAGTACTATCAATAGACTCATAATAAAATAACATAACATAACATAAAATAAAAATAACAATAATATAAGAAATATAGGAAGTACGAAAACGATGGAAGATATAATAATATCCAACAGATAAAGCCCTGTATCAGTAGCTGACCAGTAGCATCCTAAGACTAACTCCTAACTGGCTAGTCTCACTCTAGTGCACTGTAGAAATACTCACAACTTCCCCCTAGCCTACAACCTTAATGCTCGACCTCCACAATTCTCTNTCAAGGTACTTGAAACTACTCCTCTTACGAATGACTTGAGAGTCAAGCCTCACTTCCACTCCCGCTTCCGTCGGCTCGGTTCCAAATTTGCACTCGAGGTATTCCGTCTTCGTCCTGCTCAACCTGAAGCCTTTAGACTCAAGGTCCTGTCTCCAAACCTCTAGCCTCTCGTTGACGCCGCATCGTGTCTCATCAATTAGAACTATGTCATCAGCAAATAGCATGCACCATGGCACATCTCCTTGAATATGATGGGTTAGTGCATCCATCACCAGGGCAAATAGGAAAGGGCTGAACGCAGACCCTTGGTGTAACCCCGTAACAACCGAAAAGTGCTCGGAGTCGCCTCCTACTGTCCTAACCCGAGTCTTAGCTCCATCATACATGTCTTTAATCACCCTAATGTAAGCCACCAGAACCCCTTTAACCTCTAAGGAGCTCCATAAGACCTCCCTAGGAACTCTGTCATACGCTTTCTCTAGATCAATAAACACCATGTGGAGATCCTTCTTCTTATCCCTGTATTGTTCCACCATCCTCTTAATAAGGTGGATAGTTTCTGTGGTAGATCGCCCCGGCATGAACCCGAACTGGTTGTCTGAAATAGATATCGTCTTTCGCACTCTCATTTCTATCACTCTCTTCCAGACTTTCATGGTATGACTCAGTAATTTGATACCCCTATAGTTGTTACAGCTCTGGATATTGAGGGTACATGCGCTTTTGGTAATTGTACATTTCATAACTTTGATTTTTTTTTCATCCGAATAAATAATAATCATGTTTACCTTGATATTAGTAAATTCATGTAATTTGGATATGTATTACCATTAATTTAAACCTCCACGAATTTAGTATATTTATCTATGTGAAGTGGTAAAAGTACTAAATTAAGTTTCGTGTAACTTATATATAAAGGCCTCATATGTATATGTGATATAACAATTAAAACTTTTAAAGTAAATTTTATGTATGGTCATCTAACTTTTAGCTTCATTACACAAAAGTCACTATTCTTTCTTTTATCACACAAAAATCATTTAGCTTTGTTACGGTTATCACAAAAATCATTTTGGCCGGATTTGACAAAGTTCCCACCTGAAAAGTGACGTGGCAACCTTAATTAGTGTTTATACTCCATTCATTTCAATTTATGTGAACCTATTTCCTTTTTAGTCCATGCCAAAAAGAATGACTCATTTTCTTAATGATAAAGCAGTATATTTTTGGGTTGATCTCGCTTAATAGCCAACATTTTGACATATATTAGAATGCACTGTTATGAAATGGTTCACTTTATTTGGTCCCTTTTTTATTTTGCAGTTTAAGGTATACCATTTTTTCTTTTTAAATAGTTGCATTGAATGAACTGAAAATTTTCTTAAGTTGCACTTAAAATAGGTCAAGGTATTGGTAAATCACGGTATGTGCAGAGTATGGAGAAAAATGAGCTCCATTCGGGCAACTGGGTCAGATATTTTATGGGTCAAGGCATGAGTTAATACTATATTTTACTTGCTTAATCAATACTCCATCCATTTTAATTTATGTGAATTCATTTGACTGTGAACAAAGTTTAAGAAAAGAGAGAAGACTTTTGAACTTATGGTGTAAAATGAGGCACATATATTTTGTGTGGTTATAAATCATTCTATAAAGGTATTCCAAATAAGAAAATAAATCATTCTTTTTGACACTGACTAAAAAGAAAATATATCACATAAATTAAAACGGAGGGAGTATAAAACACTAATTAAGGTTGTCATGTCACTTTTCAGGTGGAACTTTGTCAAATCCGGCCAAAATGATTTTTGTGATAACCAAAGCAAAGTTTAATGACTTTTGTGTGACAAAAGAAAGAATAGTGACTTTTGTGTAATGAAGCTAAAAGTTAGATGGCCATAATACATAAAATAACAACAACAACAATAACCCAGTATAATCTCACTAGTGAAGTCTGGGGAGGGTAGTGTGTACGCAGACCTTACCCCTATCCCTGGAGTAGATGGGCTGTTTCCAATAGACCCTCGGCATCTTTCCCTCCAAGAACTCCCCATCTTGCTCTTGGGGTGACTCGAACTCACAACCTCTTGGTTGGAAGTGGAGGGTGTTTACCATCAGAGCAACCCACCTTGTCTTAGTCATGGTTTAATGCGAAAACGGCGAAAATCACTCTTCGTGCACATGGAATTGTGGATTGTGGTGGATTTTAATATAATGTAGCTTCCTCTCAGCTTATAAACAAATAATAGCAGCTCATTGATCTCTTCTAGAACTGTGAGACTGCAATACTTGGTCAATTTTTTTTAATGAAATAGTCTACGGTGATATGCGCACATGATTTGACAATTAAAAACTCTATGTCAAATTCAACTGTACTATACTATTATGTTTATTTTTTAAAAGAAAGTACGACGTGCCGGCAATATTCACGCCATATTTTAACTACTGAACAAACAAGTCACTTAATTACTAGATCTGCTCACAAAAGTTTAGTTTGATCAAGGGTTGACTAATTTTGCCAATGGCTTCCTAAGAATCAATAATGGAAATTACTGTTCATGTTAATTGAGATTGTATGGATCTTAACAAAATAGAAGATCAGTAGGAAAATTTCTAGCCAGTTGATTGATGTAAACATTAAGGTAGTTAGTTTAAAATAATGCTATATATATAGGATAAAGGGAAGACCTGGGTGCTTGTGCGTGAAAGTATCCCATATACTAGGTCCCCTACCTCCTTGACGAGCTCCTCCTTCAATCTGAGAGTTCCTTCAATTCAAAAGAAAAAAGAAAAAGAAGACACAAAAGTGAATCTTAGTACATATTATGGTATAAGATTTTTATTAGGTTAACTTACTTGGAGTGCACTAAACAGAGAAGAATGATTACATAATAGGATACAGACAGATTAAACAGTTCTAATTAGTCGGTCTTAGACTGGGGGATGTTGAGGCGAACTCAAAATCTAGAGCAAGTGGGTTCAGAAAAAACCTTTTTGCATATGCTATATAATTCAAGGAAAAACCAATGGATTCAGCTGAACCTATAGAATGTTAGAGATCAAACTCCTCAAGAAGCATGGAGTAGAAGAAATTCAGGACGAGGCCGTGGCGGTCATGGAAGAGGAAGAAGTAATGATAACAACTTCAACAATAAAATTAAAATCCACCAAACATTCAGAAGTCGTGGTCGTGGACAAACAGGAGGAAGAGGACATATGGCCAGTATCGAGAAAATAATGGATAAAGGTATGAGAAATCAAAAATTGAGTATTATAATTGTCATAAATTTGACCATTATTCTGGAGAATATCGTAGCAATGCTATAGAGAAAGCTAACCTTTGTGCATCAATTAAGAAGATACGAAAATGATATAGAAGATGTTCGTGTGATAGAAAAGATCCTTCGTACTTTAATATAGAACCTGCTCTAAATTAACTTCGAGAGGGGGGGTGTGAGAGTTCTGTGGGGACTTTGTATTAAAGTTATACCTGGTAAGCAGCTGAAGCAGCACCAAATACGAAATCAGAAGGGAAACTTGTCCTGTTAAACGGAGAAACGAATCGCTTTGCCGGGACTGTAGCATTGGTAAGAACAAAAAGATTAAGAATCAGTACAAGGTAGAAGGAGCAGAAGCTCATCAAGATTCTTCTGATAGCCATTGTTGGTTTGCTTCTTCTACCTATGGTGCAAGTTCTTGTTAATGCAATTGACATTATATATAGAACACAACTGAAAATAGGCATGTAAATACACTGATACTAAAACCAGCACGTGTCATAACAATATAAAATCTCTAATTTGTGCGTCCGTTCGTCTATTTTCCTATTCCCTAGTGCAGGACATGAGTAAAAAAAATTCTCATAGTTAATGGGATAGGAAAACTAATTCAAATCAGCCAAATGGAATAGCAAGAAATTTTGTACTCCATTCCTTCTTTTTATTTGTTATTTTGCAAAAAAAAAAAAAAAAAAAAAAAAAAAAAAAAAAAAAAAAAAAAAAAAAAATTAATTTCTTTTTCAATTCCAGACCTACAACTCCAAAAAGATAGAGTGATTAACTACTCATTTTAAGAAAATAATAATAATTTGGCCAACTATCCTTTATGATTAAGAGTGGCAAACAGACGGGNTATCGAAAAAAAAAACATTAATTTCTTTTTCAATTCCAGACCTACAACTCCAAAAAGATAGAGTGATTAACTACTCATTTTAAGAAAATAATAATAATTTGGCCAACTATCCTTTATGATTAAGAGTGGCAAACAGACGGGTCAGATCAGATATGAGCGGGTCGAAAACGGGTAATGCAAAAACGGATAAATTGTCCGATTTGACCCATATTTAATACGGATAAAAATTGGATTAACTGGTGGATAATATTGATATCAATATTATCCATGTCTTATTGAATATGATCAATTTTTGGAGAATTCGTAATATCCCAAACTTGAGGAACCTATAATTTGAGACTTTACAAATGTAAAGGTTAGACCCATTAGTTATCCATTTTCTTAGTGGATAATATGGTTCTTATCCATATTTGACCCATTTTTAAAAAGTTCATTATCCAACCCCCCTTTTAATGGATAAAATGGGTGGATAACTGTTTTCTTTAAAAACCCTTAACGCGATGACCACCCCGACTGCTTCTGGCTAGCAGGTGGCGAGTGGAGAACATCAAAATGATCCACCTGATGATGCGACCACGATGGGAGGTGCAACTAAGACTACCTATGCATACTCGATTACCGGTCCTAGCTGATCTCCTGTTAGATTGGAATATCGGCCCCCAGAGATGTACAAGGACAAACTTGCAGTTTTCTTCACGGCACGGGAAAAGGAGGAGCTGGCGAAAGTTTACATAATGGCTGTTATTGGGAAATTATCTCACGGGAAAACTCTTCTTGACGACATTCGTCGAGACTTCTCTGCAAGGTTTCTGACGAGGCGTCCAGTAAAGATTGGTCATTATGATATTAAACATGTTTTCATCGATTTCACAGATGAGGAGGACTTCAAGGGATTCTATTTCAGGGACAAAGTCATAATTCTGGGCTCTCATATGAGGTTGCAGCGATGGACCAAAGATTTCAAACCCGATGTTGAGGCAACTCTTGTACCAGTCTGGATTCATCATCCAGGTTTAAAGTGGCACTATTACAATTGGGACGCCCTTCTGCGTATTACTTCACCAATAGGTACTCTCCTCACCATTGATAAAGCTACTGCTTACAAATCTCGATCGAATTTTTCCAAAGTAAAAGTTAGTATTGACCTCACTTCTCAAAGAAGAGACTCAGTTAGGTTGGGGTTAAAGATAACAATGGTCGAGAGGATACCAGTTTCTGGCAGGACGTTGAATATGATTTTATTCTTGAATACTATTTTAAGTGTATGAAGCAGGCGCGCTCAGAAGATGTTTGTTATTCCCAGAAGAAGAGTAGCACTAGTTTCAGGGGGAGGCTATTAAGTTGACTCAGCGATAGAATGAAAAGGAATTTGTGGCACAAACCCTAGAAGGAAGGAGGTGTAATTAGCAAGAATGCCCAAATTCAGAAAGGGAGGAATCTAGAAACAAATGCCTAGAACACAAGAGTTGATAATCATAAGAAGGCTCAGGTTGGGAATGTGAAGAAACCCACAACAGAGAAGGATTAGACTCAAAAAGAACAAATTTCTTCATATGATGCAATTGTGGAAAGACAGATAATGAAGACTAACAAGGCTAGAGCTAAGCATAGTAGTAGAAGACGAATTGAACAGGGTCTCAAAGCAAAGAAAATGAAATGGGTTGTAAGGCAAAAAGGAATAATGTGGATCCACAGAAGCAATATTTGGGTAACAAAGAGATTCAAAATATTCAAAAGAATAATATAGTGGTAATGGTAACTACTAAAGATAGTGCTCAACCTCTTGTTAATTTACCTTCTATCACACATCCCCCTGTTCAAGTCTCAAATTCTTTCGAGCAATTGAAAATCTGTGGGGAAAGTGGCGATTCTCTTCAAGAGATTGGTACACATACAAGTTTGATAGAGACTACTAACCAGGGTGAAGATTTTGCAAAAAGTTCTACGAATGGTAAAAAAGGCAACATAGTTACCAGAAACTAGCAAACAAACAGATAGAAGTTGTCATGGTACTCAAAGACCTATTGCTACTAGTACAACTACTACAATTCCCTCCATGGTCGAAACTGAAGGCATCAATATAAAAGTTCATCTTTGGGGTCCTAATCACCCAATGGTATAGCAATCCACTCCAGATAATTCTATGCTCGACAAACAAATATTAACCAGGGAAGAAATTGCTATTCAGCAGGGAACTCATTTGCCAGTATCAACTAAAATTAGGGACATTACTAATGAATCTCAACATACTATGGTAATACTCTGATGTTGACCAGTCCTCTTTCTCTGATGTTGTAAAACAAGCCCAGGGCATTGAGATTGAAGGAAATGTTCTATGGAGATTTCAATAAAAAATGAAACATGTAGCGAGAAAGTTGAGCAATTGGTCTAGAAAACATATTGGGGATGTTTTTCAAAACCTCAAATAGTGGGAACACAAGATGGTACAACTAGAATTGCAGTTCATAGATGGTGATGAAGATGAGGATAGAACTGAGCTTCATATAGCTCAAGCACAGTACACTAGATGGATTAAAGCTGAGGAGAATCTACTCAAGCAAAAAGCTAACATTAAATGACTGGAAGAAGGGAATTCGAATAGTAAATATTTTCATGCTATAGTAAATGAAAGAAGGAGAAGGCTAAATTTACATAAAATCAAAACTCATGGTGGTTAGTGGTGATCAGGAGGTTGCTAATGGGGCTATTGATTTGTTTTTTTTTTCAAATCTTCTCAGTAAAGAGGAGCAACAACTTAGTTTGGAGTATCTTGATTGTATTGATCTCAATATTACTCAAGAAGATAATGACATGTTATGTAATATTTCTTGGGAAGATGAGGTAAAAATTGTCGTGTTTAGTATTGATAAAAATAGTGCTCTAGGTCCGGATGGTTTTGGAGGTAGTTTCTATCAGAGTTTCTGGGAAATTATAAAAGGTGACCTCATTGAACTAGTCCAATACTTTTTTAATGGGGCTAATTTAACCAAATATTATACTAGCTCTTATTTGGTTCTATTTCCCAATGTTGATCATCCAGAATCTTTGTCTGAGTTGAGGCCTATTACTCTTAGTAATGTCTCAGATAAGATATTATCTAAAATTATGGCTAATAGACTTGCAACTATCCTTCTGAAGTTGACTTCATGCAATTGGAGTGGTTTTGTTTCTGGTGGATTGATCATGGAGAACATTCTTTTGCCCCAGAAAATTATTCATAACATAAATAAGGAGAATGAAGGGGGTAATGTAGTGCTTAAATTAGACATGACTAAGACATATGATAGGGTGGATTGGGACTTCATGCTTGTAGTTCTGAGGAAGTTTGGTTTCTCAACGATATTGATAGATATGATTTGGAGATCTATTTCCAATAATTGATACTCAATATGATGGGAACAGAAAAAGCTTCTTTCGTTCAACAAGAGGTCTAAATCAAGGCGCCTCTCTATCACCTACCTTATTTATTCTTGGGGCCGAGGTATTATCCAAGTTACTTAATCAACTGGTGTCTGATAACTAGTTTAGAGGCTTTTACATGCATAGAAGAGGGCCACAAATCACCCATCTTGCTTATGCTGATGATGTGATAATCTTCTCCTCTGGAAAGCAAGCTTCTTTAAACCCAATTATGCAGTAGATAAAGAAGTATGGAGAATGCTCTGGGCAAATGGTAAATATGGGAAAATCATATTTTCTATTAGCACCTGGAACTGAACTTGCAGAAACACAAGACATTAAGATCACCATAGGTTTTAAACATTCTGATTTCCCTATTACTTATTTGGGATGCCCTCTTTATGTGGGGAGAAAGAGAATTTTTTACTTTAGGATTAAATAATCAAAATAGTGAGAAAGACTGAAGGGTGAAAAGGAAAATTAGTATCGATAGGTGGGAGAACTGTCCTCATTAAACATGTCCTTCAATCTCAACCTTTATACATTTTTAGCTACTATGGAACCTCAAAAAACTGTTTTAAACCAAATAGAAAAATATTTGGCTAGATTTGTTTTGGATACATCTGATGGAAAGTAGATGTATCATTGGAGTTCCTGGAAAAATTTGTGTTATCCTAAAGAGGAGGGTGGTACGGGACCTAGGAGCGTAATGTCGATCAGTGTTTCTTTTGCTATGAAGAGATGGTAGAGGTTCAGAACTACTTAGTCCCTTTAGTCTGATTTTCTGAGGGCGAAGTACTGTAATAGAGTCTATCCTATTAATAAGAAAATATTGTAGAACTAATCACATTGCTGGAAAAAGATGCTTCAGGTCAGAGACAAAACAGAACAATACTGTTTACCGTAAAAATAGTAATAACAATTAAATTTGTAAATGGGACTCTAAAAATACGTGATCTATTTTTATATTTGTTGTTTAGAGCATTTGATGCTAGGCGTATGAATTTTAATGATGAAATACAAGTTAAAATGGGGCAGTGATCAAACCGAGGGGCTTTCTTCCCGGGCTTCGGACTGATTGATGAAAGGCCTCGAGGTCGATACCCGGCTCAAGCTCGAGCTATCGGGGGT